TTCAACCAAATTAATTGGCAAGCTACTTGGCTATACATTAACAACAATCAAAAAATCTCAAACTTTTTACATAGCTTTTAATCTTTTGCTCTTAAATCTTTCAGAATTAAAATTCTACTTAATGATCTTCCTACTCCATACACTCTACACAAATGATACCACTTATATTCACCAACTTGTCACCAATGGCATGAAATCAGTTCTCATCTTCATTGGATAATATGTCCATTCGATCAACTGCTATACAACTTTATTGACAGTTCATTACAACACACTTTAAATACAAATACACTTGATACCACTTCTGAAACTATAAATGAACTTTATTGCCAAATTAGACAACTGTATTGTATGACTATACACAACACAATAGACTTATCATCAGTCTTTTCAACTCTATCAGGCTTAGTACTAAATGAAATTATTTCTATTGTTTCAAACCTATTATCTAAAAAAATAGCTATAACTCTTATTATAAAGTTTTTACTTCATCTTAACCAACAAGTATATTAGAAAATTTGGATTCCTTACTGTATTTCAAGATCAACAGCTAATCCTTCCACTTTTCTAATCTTACTTTACACTCATCTCAATCTTTTCTTTCTAACTCAATTTGCTCTAAAATTAATTTTTGGTATATACAATGGATAAAATACCAAACTAATCTTTCATATATTATTACAAACACCCAAATCTAGGTGAGCCTTGGTCACTTTTGTTGGTTAAGGTCACAGATAACTAGTCTGAGCTTCTACTCTTTTTATAATATTTTAAAAATAAATTTATTCTTTATATAAAAATTTTAAATAAATATTCAATAAAGATAGAAACATGGCCTCACCATTAATATTAAAAAAATATTTATATATATAATTTAAATAAAAAAAAGAAATTGAAATATTTATTTAAATAATAAAAGTGATAAGTTTATTTATTATAATAAATAATTATTATTATAAGTATTATTTATTAGTTAAATAAACAGATATTATATTTAAAAAATTAAAATAATTATATTTTTTTAAAAAATTAACTATAACAAAAAAGTTTATTAAGTAAACTATATTTAACTCTCTAACAAAAAAGATTCTTTATATAATTTTACATATAATTTATATATATTAAATTTTTATTTTAACTTTAATATATAAATTTTTATATTTTAATTTAAGAGTAGAGTATACATAGATCATTTTTTATATGATCTTTGTGGTATAATATAATTTTTATAAAAAATAAAACTTTGTTACTAATAAAACTTTTTATTATTACAATTAATTTTTATCAAATTTTTATATAATATAGAATAAGATGTATTCTTTATAATAGTAAAATTTTAATAGATAAAATATTTTTAAAATATATACTTGTATATATTGTAAAGTTCTCTGTAATGGCTTTATATTTCTGTAGTTACATAAAATTGTTGATCATGATTGGTCCAAATCATATAATCTTCATATGATTTATATAAACAATTTATAATACCTAATTTTTAAACATATGTATCTCAATCAATTTTTAATCAATTTAATAAATTTATTATCATTAAAATTAGAAAAACATATTCTATAATTTTTAATTAATATTTAAAAACTGTTTACTTAAAGATTAAACTCTTTGTAAATCCTTTTTATATAAAAATAACTAAAAATCTGTTAGTACTAAAATCGCTAATATCCGGTTATCTTACTAAGATAACTAACTTTGATGTCTTAAATAAACTTGTTCAGATACTAATTTTACATATATTTTAAAAGTTTCAAGTTTATAACTTTCGAACTCACAGTTTAATACTGCAAAAAGGCCTTTGGTCTTTACTATTAAACTTTTAAATATTTCTCATAAAGCATCTTGTTAACCTATTTTACAGTTATAAGAAAAGTTGTAAAGCACTGCTTTTCAATCAAAACAAGACCAAAAAAAGCTTATAGGTCTAAAATTGATAGAATTATAATAGAAAACAACTTTAACTCCTCTGTAGTTTTTTTTTTTTTTTATTCACTTGTCCTTACTCCAAATTTTTTCTCTAAAACATTTTTTGTGTAACCTCAAATCATTTCTAAAATTGGTTTCATTTAATTTCATATTGTATAAATTAAATTTATCCAAAAAGAAATTTATTTGTTACAAATTATCTTGTACTAATTTGCTAAAAATAAATGTTGCACTCAATTATATAATAATTATCGTAATACTCAACTATTTATAAATTTGTACTATATTAGCCATCTAGTCACACCAGTCACAAACTTGTGCTACCTAGGTTACACAAGGTTACACAAGCCGCAACAGCTGCAGTAGTCATAGTCAAACCCCTGCAAATACAAATTATATCTTGCAATTAAACTTATATTATAATTAAACTTTTAAAAATCTTTAATCAAAGATTACAAAAAATTTTACTAAGTAACTTAAACTCTGACTTTTAAGTAAACTTATAGCACTATGTCTACTCTTAGCACAAAAGTATCAGATATTTTAGATCTTGATTATTTCTTCAAGAATCATACAAGATCTTATGGCATCGTCATTTATAAAAATAAATCTGTACAAGTAAGAGCTATTTCAAACCCACCAAATATATTATCATGGAACTTAGATATTATCCACCAACTCATTTCTTTCCTGCTCCTGTAACAATTGCAACAATCAAGTGTATGTGTGGATTATTCTACACTAAATTCATTACAAAAAACAATAAAACATATGAACTTATTAGCAAGACTGATGAAATAACAACTAACAAACAAGCCAAAAAGCTCTAACAAGCACTTGCAAAATCTAAATCTCAAGTTCCACCATCTCCTACAGTTACTATTCATACACACACTTATTTTAAATGCCAAACTCCCATTAACTGTAAAGTGACTAACAATAACCACACACTACAAATGAATCTATCTTCTATTAAAATACAGCATATCATAACAATTGCTTAGCTGAAATTTATAAAGAAATGACCTTAGCTAATCAATGCAAACTCCAACCTACCAAATACCCTGAACAAGACTTATTTTCACATTATAAACTTCTAACTAAACAGCTTATCACTTCTCTACTTAATCAAAATCTGAACAACTCTCTTGTTTCAGAACTCATATTTACTTTACCTAACTTTGAAGAAACAACTCCTACTAATAATGATATGGACATTGAAAGCTCTACTACACCACCTAAACTACAACAACGACTACAAATCCAACAAATAAAACAACTACAACAACAACTACAAATCCAACAAATATAACAACCACAACAGCAACAACCTTTACATCAAGCTTCACCACTTTTATACAAACAATAGCTTAACAAAAAACCATCCTAACAATCTTAACTGGCTCAATCTTATAGTCAAATAACAAGACCCAAACTTAACCCATTATATGACTTCTTAGCAAACTTTCTGGTTACTGATAAAATGCAAAACTACACAAAATTACAAACAGAGATGTCCTAAAAACTCTTTAATTTTCTTAAAGAACATCTTCATAACTTCTATTTTGATAAAGTCATTAAAGAAGCAGTTGGAAAACAAGATCCACTCAAAGCAAGCTTTTATCTATTAATTAAACAAATGACTGGTGCTAGACCTTAATTTTTCATTAACTTAATCCAACAACATAACACTAACAATAGTGTTCTGCAGATCTGATTTAAAGATCCAAATCTGAATTGGATCCAACCTATTAGATCAGATCTGGATCTATGATTTATAAGATCTGTCGAATTTGGATCCACATAGGAGTCCAAATCGAATACCCGATACTATACTGTATGCTTATTGGTCAGTAATAATATATATAAGTATGTTGATCAAAACAATAAAAAAAAATTGATACTTGCTTCAACACTAGAACAAGATTCACATTATTTTTTAAATAAGTCTTATATAAGTCTTATACGATCCTTTTAAATAAGTCTTATATGATCCTTTTTTTTTTTTGTCTTATGATTTTTTTTTTTTGAAATAAGAGCATTTATTTCTTTGTAATGTCAACTCCGTCTATATTTTCTTATGAGGAAGATTATGAATCTATACATAGAGAAGAGTATGAACCAATGTATGAGAAAGAGCATGAACCAATATATGAGGAAGATCATGAACCAATATATAAGAAAGAGTATGAACCAGAGTTACAATTAGATGAATCTGAAGTTAGTGAATCATCACAAGTACAAAAGTCAAATAGCAGTAATTCTACACATACCAGGTAATTAAAATGTTATAATTGTTTAATATGTTGTTTAATATATTGTATTAATAATATGTTTTATAGATCTTTTGTATAGAAATACTTCAAAAAAAAAGAAAAAAACTATGTAATTTGTGGGATTTGTAACCAGAAGTTAGCATACCAGCATGGAACGACATCAAATCTTAAAAGGCACCTTAATTCTCACAAGACCAAAGTACCTGAATTAAAAAAATTAAATATAAAAGAAGGCATCTCAGTTGTAGATATGTTAAATAATAAGTCAGGCATAAGTTTTTATATAAATATAAATAAATAAATAAAAAATAAATAAATAAATAAAAAAAAAACTAATTTAAATAAATACTTATATTTAGATTAATAATAATTTATATAAACTATTTAATAGAGACAAATTTATTAATATAGTTAAACATTAGATTATAAAAAAAAATCGACCATTTCAAATTATTGAAGATACTGAACTTAGATCAATATTTACATATCTAAAACCTGATGCAATAGGTAATATTTTAAGGTTATAGTTATGCTGAATGTATTAAAAGTCTATATATAATTTTATATAATATTATTTTAAATAATATTATATAAAGTTATATATAAAGACTTTTAATATATCCAATTATTATTAATTAGAGCTAAAATGTAATTAACTTTATATTACTTTATAAGATTCTATTTTTTTCTTATTTTCTGTATATATATAGCACCTTCAGCTGATCTAATTAAACAACATATTGTGTCTGATTTTGAGAAAGAATATATGCGATTATGTGAAAAATTACAAAAAATTCCTAGTGGTGTTGCATTAACAACTGACATATGGACAACCGATACTAATGACAAGTTCTTTATGGCAGTTACTATTTATTATATAAATGATTCATGGAAATTAAAACATATTTTACTTGATTTTATTCATATAAGTGGGCCATATACAGGAATCATAATTTCAGATGCAATGCATGAATGTTTTACAACAATGGGTATTATTACAAAACTAGTAGCTATTACACGTGATAATGCATCATCTAATAATAAGTTTTTAGAAGAATTTTCAAATTCATTATCACAATCTGGCTTTCAATTCGATAGTACCCAACAATCTATACGATGCTTTGGTCATATTTTAAATCTTGCTATGCAAACAATATTAAATAATATTGAATGCGAATTAGAAAAGATTTGTTTACTGTAATACTATTATTATATAAAATTCTATATATTATATATATATTTACATTTGTTATATAATTTTTTTAAAAAAATTCATTGTATAATGTTTCAGCTACGTTCATTGATTAGAGGTATTAGAGGATCACCTAACTGTCATGAAAAATTAAAGATCACATGTCAAATACATAAAATAAGTTTATTAAAGCCAATCTTTGATGTTGCTACCAGGTGAAACTCTATATTTGATATGTGTGAAAGAGCAATTGTATTACAAATGGCACTAGATTCTATGGCATTGATGAAAGTAGACTTACAACAATATATTCTTAATGATAATGATTGGAAAAAAATTAAACTTTTTATTAAAGTTTTGCAACTATTTAAAGAAAGTTAGTTTAATAATTATACTAATTATATATTGTATTAATTTAAAATTTTATTAAAATATTAATAAATTATAATTTTTAGCAACAGTTATTATGTCATCTTCTAATTATCCAACATTATTGATGTCAGTTTCTTTATATCATATATTACTTAAAATGCTTAAAGAAACCCAGCAAATGAACAATATACTGCAATGTCTCATGCAAGGATGTGAAGCTGCAACTTCTAAACTTTTGAATTATTGTTATAAGACAAATATATTTCATCTTGCAGCAATAGTACTAGACCTAAGACTTAAATTTAACTATTTTGAAGAGCTTGAATGGTCATCAATACTTATTTCTTAAATTAAAAAAATGTTAGTAGCAGTAAGAGAAAACCTATAAATTATACAGATTTTTTTTGTTATTATTTATGCAAAAAGAATAAAAATATATTAATTTATTTTATATATATTAATTTATAGAATTAGAGATAAGTATGAAAGCCAATACATATCAGTTTTTAGTCAAGATATAGAAGATTTAATTGCTGAGCCATTTGCAACAAATATAATGTCACAAATCTATAAAAGAGCACATATTGAATGGCAAAGTGAACTAGATATATACTTTATGATGCCACATGCAGATCCACAAATAGATATTCTAAAATGGTGGTGAATGAATGAAGCTTGTTATCCTAATCTTGCAAAATTTGCTAGGGATTGTCTTGCTATACCAGCTACAAGCATTCTAAGTAAATGAATATTTAATGTTAGTAGAAATATGATAACTGATAAACAAAATAAATTAGCTGGAAAAACAGTTTAAATGGCAATGTGTTTAAAATCGTAGTGGGAAGCACTTGAATGCTAAATCTATATAAATAACTTTAAATTATATTAAATGTACTGCATAGTGTAGTTAAAAGCATATATTATATAAATTTGCAAGCAAATTTGCTTAATCTTAAATTTTAGCAGTTTTTTGTTTTATTTTAACTTGGTTTAGATCTGTTAGATTCAGATCCGAATCTATTAGATTCAGATCTGGATCTAGCTTCAGATCTGAATTGAATTTTCAGATCAGATCCAGATCTAGCTTCAGATCTGAATTGAATTTTCAGATCAGATCCGAATTTATAAAAAATATCTGCCTGATCTGGTCCGTACGGAACACTAACTAACAATGATAAAGCTGCTACAATACCATTTAACATTCTTAAAGAAACACTCAAAAGAATTATTTTCACATTTACAACAGTTCTTTTTACTAAACTTAACTATTCAGAAATATTTGCCTCTCTAGCTACTATTCTACCTATTTAACTCATAATCAATTACAATTTTGTATTAATCTTGTCTGACTTCATTTATATCTTTCTGATAACTACCAAGCAATTAACTACACTAAATTCACAGAAGATATCAAACTAAGACCCAAAAGATTTATTATAACATCTGAGGACACTGAAGTTGATAAACAACATCAGTTTCTTTTTATTAAAATGAATAATCATTTTAATATTAAACTTAATTTTAAGCTTCCTAAAACCTTATTTCTTCAAAAATATAACATAAATATTTTTAAAAAATTTACTTAACTATTTTAATGAATGATTCAAAAAATTTTTCCTATATACAGTCACCAATTCTCTAATACTATTAACAAAACCAAAGTCAAAACTATCTCAAGTATGAATTTAGACAACATTTCATTTCTTACCTTAAAAAGCTTCTACTTACCATCATTGAGTTCAAAAAACCAACTAGTCTTTATGAAAGACATAATGAAACCTTCAGACATGTCAACCATCATATACTTATCTACACAGACCCAAAATGTTTCTATCTTGAATCAATTATAACTAAAGATAAGAAAAAAGAAAACAATAAAGAAAAAGAATCAGAAATTGAAAACAATCTAACAAAACTCAAAAAACAAACTCTAAGCCACAACTTATATACAACTTAACCAAACTTATTAGAAATATATTTGACACATCATACAATACTTATCTAAAAGAAATTAAAGCTTGGAAAGAACTCTTCCTTAAGCTTCATATTCTATATCAAAGAAAAACATGAAGCTACATTCATTAAACAAATCCATACTACAGTTTTAGATGAATTAATAGCAAAAGCAGAAGAATATACTTGTTTTGCTAATTCTGTTAGGACTAATCCAAAATAACAAGCCTTTTACTTTTATTAATATCTAACTATCTACCAAAATACTGCTGCAGAAAACCACAATATTAATAAAATAAACAAAAAACAGGCTATTAACTTTCTTTTATCTAAACTTATCAATACTGACTTTCTTACATATGTTATTACATATTTTGATTGCATTTGCAATGAATCTTCTAATTATTCTGCAATAACCAAATTTTATAAAGAAAAAGCATTACCAGAAGCTAAAACAATTTTACATGAAAAATTTAACATTAAATTTAAAATACTTACATCTATTGCAGAGTACTCTTCTTAAAACAAGAAGAACAAACTCCTTTTTATTAAATTTGTCTTCTACAAAACTTATAGATGCAGCTTCCATCTTATTAAATAACACATTCAAAGTAGTTAATAGGAAAAATAATGTAAGTAGACAGACAGTAAAGCCTATTTATGTGGAAGGCCAAGATAATAACAGTCAGACCCAATACATAGGGCAAATTTTGGTACCTTTCACAGCAGTAAGAGCTGAGCATATGATGATCGACTCTGTAGAAGACAATCTCAGAAGATCATTTTCAACATCTTTAAGCCTCTATGATCTTCATATATAGTTTAACAAATTTCTTCTTTATTACAACTTATTATTTCTTTCTCATAGTCAAACTATTTAATCTCTTATACAACATATTACTAAACATAACTATAATAACACTGTTTCTAGCATTATATTCTCTGTTAGCAATACATATAATAAAACTTATATATATCTTCCAAATAACTTTCTTTTACCTAATTATAGTGTTATCCATCCTTATCTTCTTCCTATCTTTTACAACCTTCCTCTTAGATCAAATTTCTCTAATTCTACTTTTATTCTACCTGATTTATTTTTTAATAGTCATACTACATTACAAGTATCTACATCTAAACAAACTTTATGTGACCTTCATTTAAATATTTGTATACACAATGTTAGAGGTTATAATATAGTAACTAAAAGAGAAGCTTGGCAAAATTATTGTCTT